TGGATAAATGAACAAATTCATAAAGCAATTCACAAAGAATTCTGCAAATACAATGGTGTTTACCACCATTTGAAGAGGAGACATGCTCAAATTAATGAGGATTGTCTGTCTCCCTCTTCTCCCTACCACAGGCACATACAAGCTCTGACATCTCTCTCACCTCCTCCTCCTCCTTTCAAAGTCCATGCTTGAAATTACAGGGGACACATTGATGTTCACTCCACTGGAAAAAGTGTGATTTTGATTACAGAAATTGCTGTTGTATATGTTTCAAGTGGTGCATTCTACTGTTTCATGAGGGAAATCTAGATATGTAGGGTACCAAGGAAGAGTTGTATTGGAGAAATTGTCTCTTTGAAGAGATGTAACAACTGAGCTTTGGGAGCATAATGGAATTGTTTGTGTAGAAATGTTATAGGTTGTACCAATTAAGGTAGAAATAGGTAAGAAGGGAAGTGCCAATTTAGCTTAGTTGTTCCCATGCCTAATCTGCTCATGCATAAAGGAGGAATGGGGAATGAACATGAATCTTCTCCTTCTCAGCAGCTTCAAGTACTGAAAGTAAGCTTGGCTTATGAAACAAAATGCTTCAAGTGGCAAAGGACAAAGACAAAAATATAGGAAGATTTTGAAAAATAACCCAGATTTACCTGAAAAAATAGCCTAGATTTACCACATACATCTAATAATTAAAAGTTGAACCATCTTAACTTGATATGCAGATCAGCTGTTAATAAATAACACGCCTCCCAGGTCATATCTAAATTGCCTCTACTTTCCTAATGCCGTGACCCCTTAATACAGTTCTTCATATTGTGATGACCCCTAACCATAAAATTATTTTCGTTTCTACTTCATAACTGTAATTTTGCTACTATTATGAATCATAATGTAAATATCTGATATGCAGGATGTTTTTTCATTCACTGCACCAAATTTGGCACAAATACCCGATACACCCAAATTTGAATATTGGGTGGGGTGGGGGTTGATTTTGTCATTTGGGAGTTGTAGTTGCTGGAATTTATAGTTAACCTACAATCAAAGAGTACTCTGAACCCAGCCCACAATGAATCTGCACCAAACTTGGCACACTACCTACATGGCCAACATTGAATGCTGGTGGGGTTGAGGGGGGGGGGGCTGTTTTTGAATTCTATAGTTCACCAAAGAGATCTTCAGCCTTTTCTGCCAAAAGGGTTCCTAAGGCCATCAGAAATACATGTTTTCTGATGGTCTTTGGTGACCCCTCTGAACCCACCTCCCCTTGCAACCCCTCCCCCAGGGGTCCCAACCCCCAGATTGAGAAACATTGCTGTAAAACAAGGCTGAGGAATTCGTGACTTTCAAGAAAATGTTGGACTGCAACCTCTATAGTTCCTAACTACTGCCTATGCTGACTGAGACTGATGGGCACTTGATGACATTTGGAGGGCCAGAAGCCCCCACTCCATCCTAAAACAATCACAACCTCTATCAGTTGACACCAAATTTTGCCCTCATTTGTCAAGAACTAGAATTATGCCCAGATCCTTCTCAAAATGATTGCTATTATGTCTTTTTGGAAATGACTGGGAGATTTTTTTCCAGTTTGAAACTTTGGAACATTCTTGCATGCATTTAAAAGTGTGAGTGAGACACACCTTTCGATCACAGCCATACCAGCCAACAAATTAAATGTTTATGTTAATAGGAAGCAGCTTCCCTGGATAAGAGTGACTTTGGTTTTGCTTAATTAGTTCATGAAAGTGGTCTATTTTGTATATCGATTGATTAAGTAGAGTGCACTCTGCTGCCCATTTTAGAATTTAATTAGTATGTTTGATGTACTATAATGCCTGGTGAGCAAATGTGCTTTATTAATGCCAGTGGCTTATTGTTGCATATGTTGGTATAACAAGATATAAATGAAAAAAATGTAATGTTAATATTTCTTTTTAATGATTGTACTTTTTTTTCTTTTAACTGAAGTTTGAAACTCAGTCTAATTTGGGTTCAGATATGCCCTGGGGAAACTATTAAAAATAAAACACTTGAGGAAAGGTGTGATCCATGACATCATTGGGGAGCGGGAAGAGATGCCTTTAATGAGGATGTCCATTTTCAAGTGAAATAATCGGGTTGAAAAGCAGTCATTTGTGTCAACAATAAGTCTCAGTGAAAGGTACCTAATACCTACAAGAAATGTGTGTGATTTCAAATAAGTGTCATCACCTTTTACACACATTAAGCAACTGCAGCTTTCTAATAATTATGTGACTATAACATTATGGTTATCATGAATTGTGAATTAAACATAGTACAATAAGAGGAAATCTTACAGAAAATGCTGCCATAGCATGTATTATTCAAGGTTCATATATACAAATTGCTACATTTCACAATGACAGATTGAGTACAGTACACCTACATGAAATATATTATTACATGTATTTGTGTTATTGTGTTGAACCACAAAGATAAAGCCTGCAATCCTCTTGGGTGGCATTAACTACTCTGGCAGAGAAAGCAGCAGTGATATATGGAAAAAAGCATAGAAAGTCATCTCTGTTGAGACAAAAGTGTCCTAGTCGTCCAAAACTGCTTAGGAGGCAGCAAGGCAGTGTTTTCTTCTTTCCTTCCACTGGCGCTGAACATTGATCCAGAAAGTGCCTTAGTTTTGAGTAACATTCTGTGCTAAGAACACAAATCAGAAAGAGGATTCCAGTTTGCACCTCTCCCTTTGAATGGGAGGTGGTGGTGGTGTTATTTATTTTTAATAGTTTTGGGTCTGTCCCTCTTGACTGTCCCATGCAAGTTTCATATGTTTTTAGACCAGGCATGAGCAAACTAAGGCCCTTGGCTGGACATGACCCTCTGGGCGCCTATGTCTGGCCCTCCTAATTTTCCGTGTACTCTGGCCAAGGACAGGAGAAGAAGGCACACGGTGGCTGGGAGTCCTCCGAAATGCTCTCAGCCACCATGTGTCTCACCCTCCTCCTGACATAAGAAAGGGCAAGCAGCCCAATACTTATGCCAGGAGGATGGCCTGAAGATAACCCGTCCTGCCCCACCCTCTCCTGTGCCCACCCCGCCCCCTCCTGGGGCTACCCCCCCCCCTTCCAGGTCCAGGCCTGCTAGCTGGGCCTACAATGCGGTCCCAGGGCAATTTTTTTTGTCTATGCCTCTTCTAGTACTATAGGCATCAGACTGTCCAGATATGCCTTTGGATTAGTTAACAACAATATCAATTGGTTTTTTTCCCTAAACAATATACGAATATCAGGCAGCATTCACTACATTTCTTTGTGTGTTCATGTGCATTCTTTGTTTTCAATTTTTTTTGTATTTTCACAACAAATTAATAATAAAAGCTAACAAATACAGGTGCTAAAATAAGAAATCAGTTAAAAAAACTCATAATAAACAATTGACTTTTCCCCTCCTCAGACTATTTACATGTACATCTTGTTCTAATTAATTGAATTTCAGCTTCTGCTAAATATGACCCAATATATTTAAAATTATGCATATCCATGAATAATATTAATATCAACAATTTATCCCTTTTAATTTACATTCACATTCATTTACTTTATTTCTAAAGACATACCATCATTGGCTACTATTTATTTGGAGGAATATGTGGAGAACATCTGATCCCAAGTGTTCACTTCATTTTTACTTTTATTATAAACAATTACCTCAAAATTCAGTTTATGGTCTGACCTTACTGTATATCTGAAGGAAGAATCATCATTTTCTTTGGCACATAACTTACATAAGTAAGACCTCCTTGAAAACACAGAATGATGTTGTTCACATTTCTATGTTGTGGACAAGGAAGTTGGATTTGTTTATCATTGAGCCAGCTAGAGTCAGGTTTTTCTTAACTGATTGCTAAGAGTTTATTAGTTCATGTTTTTTGGTCAGAAGCCTGTAGATATGTTTTTCAGTGGCTGTACTGCCTCAGTTTTGACTATAACTGTTTAAAGGCTATCTGAGGGCAACCCTCAAAAAGACCATTTGCCCAATGCATACTGTAAACAGTTCTTTGTGTGACATTTGCAATTTGATCTGGCCACCTAACAAGATGTAAGTCCGGGTTTCATAAAATTATTAGCAAAACACAAACTTAGAAGTAACCAATGAAAAGCTAGTTTTGTTGGCTTACAAGAACATTTTATGTGGGGGAAAGTTTTGTTTGTATTCTTTATGTTTGTAAAGGGGCTTTGTAAATCAGCTGAGACAGTCAGTCTCTTTCAACCTGGCCTACCAGGTAAAATGTAAAATGTGAATGGAGATCCATATCCACTGTATTGAACTTACTGTATGAAAGGAGGCATTTATTTATTTATTCATTCATTCATTCATTTACAGTATTTATATTCCACCCTTCTCACCCTGCAGGGGACTCAGGACAGATCACAATGCACATATACATGGCAAACATTCAATGCCGTAGACGCACAACATATATAGACAGAGACACAGAGGCCATTTAACTTTCCACTTTCATGAGGGCATGCCTTTTGAATTCCGGCCACCGGGGGAGCTGTTGCTTCACCATCCACTTGTGACACCAATGGACTACTTCCTCATTCTTTTGCACACTGCTGGAGAGTTTTATGGCATCATAAATTAGTTACATTAGCCTCCCCGCATAAGCAGTACCTAAATTTCCTACTTGATGCAACTGTCTTTTGGGCGCAAGGATCGACAGCAAGCTAGACAAATGGCCGGAAGCTCACTCCGACCTGGGCTGGCTTCAAACTCATGACCTCTCGGTCAGGCATAAAGATATATAATATAAATATAATTGAGGTTTTAGAATACTAATTAAAAAGCTTCACAATATTTTTCGGCTCTGCTGGCATCCATTTGATACCAGTTGACAAATGGTGCTATATCTGTAGGCTTTCATACAAGAAATTGCTTCTATGACATTGACACAGATGAATTAGAATGGGTCAATGTGTGTGCTATTATTAAGATTGTGAGTATTTCTTTCTCTGTTGCAGACAGTCGAAGAGATTGAAGGTGTCTTGGGACAGGACCTGTACCCAAATCTGGCAGAAGAGCGATCTCGATGGGAGAAGGAGCTGGCAGGTTTGAGGGAAGAGAACGAGAGCTTGACGGCAATGCTGTGTAGCAAGGAGGAGGAACTAAATAGGACCAAGGCTACCATGAATGCGATCCGGGAAGAACGAGACAGGTTACGTAGAAGGGTGAGCGCACAAAGTTTTGGAGAAATGCAACTGCCAGAAAATTTGCCCCATTTTGTAGGCCACACTCAACTCACTCTCAGCTTTTTCTCTGATTTGCTACCCTTCTACTCTATGGATTATTGTGGTGGCTTCTTTCATCAGCCTCACCAATCCTCATATTAATGGGCCTATTCTGAGCTTTCATGGGACCATCTTGTCTACATATACAGCTCGTCATAACTGGGGAGGCTTGATACCTGCCTTGTCTTTTCTTGTGCACCCAAGACACCACCTAGTTACCCTTTATGAACATTTCAGATATGGAACATCTAAGATATATCAGATAAAAATGGGAGCTCATACATAAACATGTCAGGAGATAAAGCAGATACTCCCCTAGTGTATAGTCCAGTTTGTATCCCCTTCCCTCCCTGCAACTTGCAACAAAGGAAGCCTTTGATAGGTTTCTTTTCCAATTTTAATTCATGGTTTAGTTAGAAGAAGAATTAGCTTCTTTTTATTTTTAAATGGGAATAATTTTCTTGAACTGATTATTTAATGGTTTGCATGTGTCTGTTTCTGGTTCTGGTTCATCTAAAGATATTCACTGGTTATATGGTTATATGGAATTTACAGAAGTAACTGAAATTAGGATCAGATTGATGGCAAAGAAACTAGTATCTCTGGTACAGATTGAATAGGTGAGGGGTGGTAGGAAATGCTGCTTTTGGCTTCAAATGTGTGTGTTACTTTCCACAGAAACATTGTTTTGCATGTAAATGGGAACTGAGCGAAGAGAGCTGAATTGCCAGTGCATTTTAATAACTTTCACTGTTGTTTGAACAGCCTTTCTCTCTTTTATGTTTGTTTCTTTATGACATTAGAGTTTGCTGTTTGTTATTTCCATTTTTCTATTATTCAGCTATACCGAGTATCTTGTTCAGCAAAGCTTCTGTCCAGCATAGTATAATATGAGTATTCAGCTACTGAAACAGATTGCATGTGTAATCTGCTATGTTGTATAATTAGACCATCAGAGCTGAAACCTTTTTAAAAATGCACAGTAGTTGTATGAATGTGTGTGAATATCCATCTGTCATCACCGCACCCGGGGGAAGATTCCACTTGGAAGGGTCCCAGATGCTACATCACCGCCATCTCCAATGGCCAAAAACCCAGAGCCTGTTCTTGCATCCTTCCTTTCTTTATCAGGAAGAGGCTAAATTTTCGGTGTTACGTCAAATACTCTGGCAGAACCCAAACTCTTTCCTTGATTTTCCTCCAGTACCTTAACTCTGTCCCTAAGCATTGTAAACCCACAAAGTTCTTCCTTCTTTCATCTATTCCTATTGCTGCAGTGTTTTGTATAGTGTAGTAATTTTGGAAATAAAGAGAAAACATTTTAAATATAACCACAAGCATTTATTTTGGTACAGGAAAACATTGGATTCACAACTAAAATGATGAATGAAATCTTTCATTTTTGAACTTAAAATAATTAACAACAATGTATTATGGTCCCAAGATCCTTTTTAAAATAGTTTTAAAATTGGGCTTTATGTCTGACAACTGAATACATAAATCTGGGACGGCATTCATCGCACACTTAAACTTATTTTTGATGTAAGCATTACTTGAAAAGCCTGATTTACTTTGATAGGTGGAACCCAAATCGAGCATTGTTCAGACACCCTGTTTGGCTGTTGACGGCTATATATCTATCAGTCCTATCCAAAAAACATTCAGTGTCAGAGATTCACATTTTGTTTTTATAGTGGATGTACATTGGATTTCAATATAATCTTCATACTTTGAGAAAGACTTTAAAAAAAATTTAAGATTTTTCACAGAACTCCTACAATTCTTTTGAAGAACCCTAGGGTTCTGCAGAACACAGTTTGGGAACCTCTGTTCTAAGTTCAGTAGAATGTTTCTACTGCATCTATAGTGGGGCTTCCATGGGCTTTCCTTTCTTCTTATTCAAACTTCTTCAAGGAACCTTTAGTACCACTTATCCCTGATTGCTATGTTACCCATTAAGCTGGCGATGCTGTAATCATTGTCTTTTTAATTTTTTTATTTAATTACTAAAACACCTGTCTATCATAGCAAGAGAACAGGAGAAGGTAGCATAGGAGATTCAGGGCCAGTCCAGACAGCACCTTTGTCCCAGGAGCTCCCACTTCAAAATAGAGGGTGGCCAAACAACTTCTCCTGAAAATGCAGGAGCAATTGCTACAAAGTACAAGAAACGCGAGATTTTCTGGTACGAAAATATCCCAGTTCAGGCCAGAAATGTGGATATTCGAATCTCAGTATGTCCCTACACTCAGAAAATACGGGATTTTTTATGTTGGTTTGTTCCCAGGTTATACATGTCGGTTTTTGCTTGGTTGAATCCTAAAAACATGGCAGCAGTTGACTAGAGGGTGAAAACTTATCCAGGCAAGAGAAACTTCATCCTCCACACAGTTAATGAAGTTTGTGACACACGAACAAAGGTTTTGCATGTCATCAACTTTCCCCTTGCTTTTATGATAAAAGCAATCAGGAACAGACATGTATAATCCAGGAACATCACCCCGTAGTTCCCAAGCACAAGTACAGATGGCCACATAGCCTCCATAACCCAAGACTGCAACTTATAGAATGATTTGCATATTCGCATCTTAAGTTTTTTTTAAAAAGAACTGCCAAAATTTCTGGTGTACATCCCGTGGCATCCATCTTGAGGGCTGCAAAATCCCAGAACAAAGCAAGTGTGGACGACGGAGGCAGAAACCCCAATGGGTCTGTATGTGGACATCTTGTCAGAACCAGGAATTTTTTGCCCCTGACTAAAACTCAGGATTTGGTGATGTCTGGAAGTACCCACAGTATCTTCATGAGCAGCAAATGCTTTGCCATCTGGAAATAAAATTGCAGTTTCTTATAGTATACAGAAGTATCAGATCACACATTATCAGGTAAAGAAAGCAACTTTGTAATTACTTCTGTAATGCTGATTGTCTTGTATTCATAAATGCTCATATATTTTGGGGCTCCACAATCATGATGCATAATTGCAGCAAACGTAATCAAGAAGGTGTCTGATGTTGAAGGAATTGTGCTTAACCACATTAGAATGGCAAATTTCACAAATATAATCAGAGAAAGTGCTATTGTTTGGTAACTGGAAAGAACAAGGATTGCCTTCTAAAGGTTGTGTTTGGCCTCCTTTTGTATCAGCTTTGCAACTATTTACAGCAGTTTATTAAAGTTTTGTAGATAGATTTCAAATAATTAAAAAAAGCAGAAATAGTAGATCCCAGTAGTTTCTTTCTTTCCTAATACAATCCTAAAAAGAACACTCTTCCCTGGTATCCAGACGGACATTTTCTGTTCCGTTATTACAGTCTACCTAAGTCAATGGTTCCCAACCTTTTTTTGATCAGGGACCACTTCACCAGGGACCACTCTCCAACATTAGTACCAAAAGGGTTACCAATAGGTTTTTGGTCAGCTTTAGATTTGGTTTGGCTATTTGGGGTTCTAATTCCAAAAAATTGCATTGGATAGACCACATCAGCTTTAGTTTCTGATACAGAACATATGCCATCCAGTAGGCGCCATCTCCTCGCCCACATAAAACCATATTTAATATGCATCATCACTATAAGAGGGTTTTGTGAGACCACTCATTGCAACGGTGCAATAATGATGAGGCCACGGACTATATTTTAGTTGGGAACCACTGATCTAAGTCATATATTTTGTATCTTGTGATACCACCATAGTTTAGTTATTTAATTATTTACTATATTTATAATCTGCCTTTCTTCCAAAATATAGAGTTTGATGTAACTCACATTAAGGCTGAATAAAAATACTGTTCAAAAGAGAATAAGTTCATTAATTAAATATATGTAATTAATATACAAACAGGTCAAGGTAATAAATTAACTAGCTAAAATGTTTACTCGGCTGAGCTGTTCTGCATAATCATTCAGCTCCTTTATGCTAGGAAGACCTAACCAGATCAGGCCAAGGAGCTACTGGCAAACCCTCACTACCTCTGAGGATGCTTGCCATAGATGCAGGCGAAACGTCAGGAGAAATGCCTCTAGAACATGGCCATATAGCCCAAAAAAACCTACAACAACCCAGTGATTCCGACCATGAAAGCCTTTGACAATACTATTGGCAAATGTTTGTTTTCAGCTTTTGGATCACAACTCTCAGAATATCCCAGTGATTGGTTTGTAGATCCCCTCTAAGATAGATGGGCAATGTCTGGATCAAGGTGGGATCTTTTGGTGGAGATGAAACCTGCATGGTAACTAAAGAAGGAATACCTCATTGACGCTACACATTGGATTGGCATGCCAATCAAAGAATAAGTCTCACATTCTTAAATACAGAACTGAATATTGTTCTCTTCCCTTTTCTTTCCTTCACTGTTATTGGAAAATAGTGGGGTCTTATTTTCTAAACAATATGCTAATTTGCTTAACAGCAAGTTTATTTCTCCCCCGAGGAGTCTGTTTATTACAGATGTCCATGTCAGCCGCACTATGTAACAGTGAGCACCAGGGAGCTTATTTGCATTTGTAAAACAGTCAATAGCTGCCACACAAATGAATGTTTCCCTTGACCTACTAAATATTTCATATATGCAACCCAGAACCAAAAGTCACTTCATATTATTTCCCCAGAGAGGCTGAGGAAGGAGACCCTGCTAAAATTTAGTTTTGCCTGTACATGCATGAAATTGGGTAGATAAAAGAAGTTGAGGCTGAACAGATCAATAGGGCTGTTACTTTGGCCCAATGCCTGTAATCAAGCAAAGTGCTCTCAGCGGGGCTTCAGAGCCTTGTTAGGGGTTTAATTAAATTAGATATTTAATGCATCCAGTTAACAGATTGGGCTGCTTTGCAGTGCAATAACTAAGAAATGACATGTGTATGGATTTTTATCTCTTATTGGTCATTAGTAAATGGGGTGATTACTTATTTTTTGTAGGATGCTCATAATGTAGTCCT